TTCAGCGACTTCGCAGTTTCTCAGTTGCTTGGGGTCCAGGTTGTATTTCAGCCTTCCCTCCACCAGGGCAGCCAAGGGTGGATTTCACTTTCTTTTAGTAAGAAAGGGAATTCTATTGTGTTCTGGAACTTTTTGAAGAGATTTCATGCAGCGTATAACTCCTAATAATCAAAATGCATATTTTATGCAGTTACATTTTCTTAACCATTTGTTTCTCTTGTTCTGCTCACAGTAAAATTTGCATGAGCCCTGGCTGGCTTGGCTCAGTGGAGAAAGCATTGACCTGTGGACTGAAAGGTCTCAGGTTCGATTCCAGTCAAGGGCACATACCTGGGTGGGGGGCTCGATCCCTAGTAGGGGCCTGCAGGGGGCAGCCGATCAATGATTCTCTCTTGTTACTGATGTTTCTCTCCCCCTCTGAAATCAATAAAAATATCTTAATTTTTTTTTTGCATGAACCACATGGCTTTATGAAACAAGTTACGATGACCACTTTTCTCCTTCCTCCTCTTACTTTTCTTTATGTTTCCGTTACAGAAATGAGCCGCCAGACTGCGACAGCGTTACCTACTGGGACCTCCAAGTGCACCCCGTCCCAGAGGGTGCCTGCCCTCACGGGCACCACCGCGTCCAACAATGACTTGGCCAGTCTCTTTGAGTGTCCTGTCTGCTTTGACTATGTGTTGCCACCCATTCTTCAGTGTCAGAGCGGCCATCTTGTCTGTAGCAACTGTCGCCCAAAGCTCACGTGTTGTCCAACCTGCCGGGGCCCCTTGGGATCCATTCGCAACTTGGCGATGGAGAAAGTGGCCAATTCAGTACTTTTCCCTTGTAAATATGCCTCTTCCGGGTGTGAAATCACTTTGCCCCACACAGAAAAAGCAGACCACGAAGAGCTCTGTGAGTTCCGGCCTTACTCCTGCCCGTGCCCCGGCGCGTCCTGTAAGTGGCAGGGCTCTCTGGATGCCGTGATGCCCCACCTGATGCATCAGCACAAGTCCATCACCACCCTGCAGGGGGAGGACATTGTGTTCCTCGCCACGGACATCAACCTCCCCGGGGCGGTGGACTGGGTGATGATGCAGTCCTGCTTCGGCTTCCACTTCATGCTGGTCTTGGAGAAGCAGGAGAAGTATGACGGGCACCAGCAGTTCTTTGCAATTGTACAGCTGATAGGAACGCGCAAGCAGGCGGAAAATTTTGCTTATCGACTTGAGCTAAATGGTCACAGGCGGCGATTGACTTGGGAAGCTACTCCCCGATCTATTCATGAGGGAATTGCAACAGCCATTATGAATAGCGACTGTCTAGTCTTTGACACCAGCATCGCACAGCTTTTTGCAGAAAATGGCAATCTAGGCATCAATGTCACTATTTCCATGTGTTGAAGTGGCGATCACACGTTTTCTGGCCAGTGTTTAAAACCATTGCATTCAGCTTCACAGAGAATAGGCCCCCTCTGCCTGCCCCCCCGAGACTTTTGGTAGGTGGAGCTAGTCACATGAAGGTAAATAAATGGAAAGGCTGTTAAATACAGGAAACGGTTGCATGTAGTAACACTAATATATTTAAGTCAACAGTAAACCACTGAAAAAATATATATATACACCCAAGACGGGCATCTTTTGTATTAAGAAAGGAAGCATTGTAAAATAATTCTGAATTTGTGTTTGTTGTAGATTGAGTGTACTGTTGAGAAATACTGGGTTTTTGTTTCTGCGTGTGAGAGTGTGTGGGTGCGTGTGCGTGTGCGTGTGCTTGGGTTTTTTTTTCCTTTAACTGACAAGCCATGTTAAGTGGTCTTGGGCCACTGCTTCCCCTCTTTTGAGTCAATACATAGTGCTGCTGTGTGTGTATATATTTTTTGTGTGTATTTGCTAATTTTTATTAATTTTAGTTTTTCATTAAATAAATTTGACTTTCTTTTCTGTAATTGAAGCTTTTCCCATCTTTTTTTGTACCTTTTTAAAGTTAGTGGTTTTTTATGCATAATTGTTTATGGTAAAGTTTATACATGTGTGTTCCATACATGTTTTTTCTCCCCATTAATCAGTTCATTAGAAATACTTTAAATTCAGCTTCTTGTGAAGACACGAGTTCCAGAAAGGAGAGGTAACATCGGAAGAAAGATCAGAAGCTACTTAAAACAGCTAGAAGATGGTCGGTCGGTCGGTCTTTTTCTCTCTTTTTTCCAGTTGAGTCACGCCTTCAAACTTATTCTTTAAAAGGTAGTAGGATATACTGATTTTTTAAAATATATTAAAAAAAATCCCCCCCCCCCCATATCTTGGACAAATCACATATGTTTAAAATTTGTTCTCATATTTATTGGTTTTGCAAAAGAAGGCATCATCTCACAGTATTTGTAATTAAAAGCAAAGCATTTGTTTAAAAAAAGGCAGTTTGCAAAAAAATGTTTTTGGTCTTTTATAATTCTCATTAAAAGAATATCTGGCAAATTGAAAACTCTTTGTGTTGCTTTAGCTCTAAGTTTGATTAAAATCCAAAGCTGTTTTCCTGTCCGATTCTGTGCTTCACAGCAGAGAGCAGCGTGCAGTTTTGAAATGCAAGAGTTTTACTGTCAAGTACAGCGCGGCACAGGCCCCGGCACAGGCACAGCGAGCCCCAGGTCCTGACTCGTCCTCCCGGAGCACTGGGACTCGCCAGCAGGGCCGGGCACGTCTGTAACTCGCAGACCCCATTCTCATCCAAGAAACTGCGCAGCGCCTGGCATACCTGTGCTTCAGTCTGGAAGAGCGCTCCTGAGGGGGGCGCGGGGTTGTCCATCGCGTCCTCAGTCTCCACAGCCACACTGGCGTGGCAGGAAGGTGGGCGCTGGGTAAGGAGAGCTATGACCCTGGAAGCCCCAGCCTGACCTGCTGTCCTAACCCTGGGTGAGTCGGGACGAGAGAAGCGGAGAGCCCGCAGACGGGGACGGACAAGGGGAGGCGGCGGGGCCCGGGTCTCGCGGGGTCAGGATAACGAGCGTGGGGACCAGCCCGGAAAGGTTGGCGGCCTCCCCCTGGGGACTGGACTTTGTAAGGGGACAGGTGTTCGGGGCCGGCGTGTTTCTGACTGACGTGTGCGAACCGGGGCCGCTCTGCCTGCGTGATGTTGCGTGTGCTGGGACGTGTGGGCCTCCTCACGCGGTACTTAACCTGAAACTTCATTTCCACAAAGACTCACCGGCTGTGTTTTCAGCTTTGCCCACTGCCCCTCCTGCATTGACAGGGATCTGAGGTCATGGTCTCTACAGTCGTTCTTGACCCGAGGCTCGTGGAACAGATCTGAGTGTGGGTGGGAGTCTCTGGTGGGGCTGTCTGGGGCCACAATGGGAACCGTGTGCCGCCTTCCCAGGGACAGAGACGACGACCGAAGACAGGAGTCAATGCTATCTGTTTATTAAAATCTCTGTAGCCCGCGCGGCCCCGCGGTGAGGCTCGCGCCTGCTGATCAGCTCACAGGGGAAGGGACATCTTGCTTACCCGCTGGCGTGAGCAGCCAGCCCGGCGGGCCTCGGGGCTTCAGGACGGCGCCTGAGCCGCGCTCCGAGCCTACAGTTTGCTATTTAAGAGGCCGGGCCTGGCCTTGGCCGAGAAGCCCCCGTCGAAAGCGGCGTTCAGGACCTCGTCCAGGCAGCTCGCCGTGACGAAGCTCAGGTCGCGGCGCACGTTGCCCGGGATCTCCTCCAGGTCCTTCTCGTTCCTCTGCGGGAGGATGACCCGCTTCAGGCCCGCTCTGTGCGCAGCCAGCACTTTGTCCTTGATGCCGCCCACCTGCGGGGGAAGGGCAGGCGGCGTGACCTCGGGCCCAGCACCCCCGCCGCTTTCCCACATCCAGGTCACCGCCCGTCCGGCACAGGAGCGGGAGAGCCCTGAGGAGGTTAGTGAGTAGTGAATTCTCTTCGCTTCAGTTAGTGCTCTAGTCCAGCCTTTCACGGGGAAGGTGCCGGTTTTCTGTCCCTGTTCCTGCCTGTTGTCAGGGTCTACACTTCAGTCTCTGCAGTCACGGCGCCTGCGGGCCGATGGGGCTGATCGTAGACCTGACACCCGCCCGCAGAGCTCAGCTGTGCGCCAGGATGGCACCGCTGCACAGGTCAGAGCAGGACTGCTGGGCCACCCGGGAGGACACAGGTCCCCACGGCCTCGACTCCGTGGTTAAAAGATGTCCATGAAAACCCACACACACAAAGACATGGAGGCTAAGCAATGAGATCAAGGAAGAAAAGATACCATGAAACAGATGAAAATGAGAGCACAACCCACAATCTATGGGGCACAGGGAAAGCAGTCCTAAGAGGGAAATTCATAGCATTACAGGTTTGTGAGAAAAAAGAAAGATCTCGATCTAACTTTACACGTAAAGGAACTGAAAACAACAACAAACAAAGCCCACAGCGAGTAAAAGGAAGGAAACAGAGCGAAAGTAAACAAAATGGAGTAAAAAAGAAAAACCAACACAAAAGACCCATGAAACCAACAGCTGGTTCTCTGAAAAGATACGCAAGGGAAATCTTCAACCAGATCATCAGGGACGAGCCCACATGAAGCCAGAGATGAAAGAAGTAACAACGGGCACCAAAGAAACACAAAGGGTTGTACAAGGAAACATGAACTATAGGCCAATAAATCGGACAGTCTGGACCACATGGATCAATTCCTAGAAACATAAGATCCTCCAAAACTGAATCAGAGAATTGAAACAGACCAGTTACAACTAGTGAAACGGACGCAGTCATTAAAAGCTCCCGACAAACAAAAGCCGTGGACCAGGTGGCTCACAGGTGAGTTTTACCAAACTTTCCAAGAACTGGCACCTGTCCTCACACTCCCAGAATATGCCAGAGGAGGGCAGCCTCCCAGTTCACTTCACCAGGCCAGCGGCACCCTGATTCCAAAACAAGGCGAAGACACTGCACGTGCACCAGACGAAGGACAGAAATCACAGGATCATCAACAGGTGCAGGGAAACCATTTGATAAAACCCAGCCAACATTTACGATAAAAACCAACACGCAGCAAAGTGGGAATAGAAGGAACATACCTCAGTGGGACCGCCTCACACTAAAGCCCCTGTGCAGCAAAGGAGACCATCCAACAACAATAAAAAGACAAACCACTGGATGGAGAACATATTTGCCAACCACACATCTGATAAGGGGTTAACAGCCAAAATTTTATTTATTTTTTTAATTTTCTGTGCCCTTTATAATCAACTTTTTTTAAAAATATATTTTATTGATTTTTTTACAGAGAGGAAGGGAGAGGGATAGAGAGTTAGAAACATCGATGAGAGAGAAACATCGATCAGCTGCCTCTTGCACATTCCCTACTGGGGATGTGCCCGCAACCAAGGTACATGCCCTTGACTGGAATCGAACCTGGGACCCTTGAATCCACAGGCCGACGCTCTATCCACTGAGCCAAATCAGTTAGGGCCAAAATTTATTTTAAAAACTTACTCAACACCAAAAAATAAAAAAACCAAACAATCCAATTTTAAAAATGGGCAAAGGACTTTTCCAAAGAGGATATTCCGATGGCCAACAGACATATGAAAGGTGCTCAACAGCGTTATCATTAGAGAGATGCAAACCTCCGGATGACCACTATGAGGTACCACCTCACACCTGTCAGTGGCGATCATCAGTAAAGCAACAGACAGCAAGTGCTGGGAGGATGTGGAGACGGGAACCCTCGTGCACCTTTGGCGGGAATGCTGGTTGGTGCAGCCGTTGTGGAAAGCAGGATACAACACCAATAATGAACGATCGGAAAGGGAAACTAAGAAAATAACCCCATTTACATGCTTAAAAACCCACAAAAAACCTAGGTACAATTAAAAAAGATCTATATATGTATTTATTGATTTCAGAGAGAAACATCAGTGATGAGAGAGAATCACTGATTGGCTGCCTCCTGAACGCCCCCTCCTGGGGATCGAGCCTACACCCCGGGCATGTGCCCTTGACCGGAATCAAACCTGGGACCCTTTCAGTCCCCAGGCCGACACTCTATCCACTGAGCCAAACCAGCTAGGGCACCAAGGTATAAATTTAACCAAGGATGTAAAAGACTTGTACTTGCAAAATAAGACACTGAACAAAGAAACTGAAGATACAAGTGGAAGTATATACTATGTTCATGGACAGGAAGAATTAACATCATTAAAATGTCCCACTACCCAAGCAATCTATAGATTCAAAGCAATTCCTATCAAGACAGCTCTAGCGTATTTCACAGAACTAGAGCAAATACTTCAAAAATGTACGTGGAACCACAAAAGGCCCTGAACAGCCACAGCAATCCTGAGAAAGAAGAACAAAGTTGGAGGAATCCTGCTCCCTGATCTCACACTACTGCCAGGCCATGGCCACCAAACCGCCTGGTGCTGGCTCTGATCAGCCACCCACCACAGCCTCCTCCAGGGTTTTCTGTGGCCCCGACTCAGCGTGTGAGCCGCCGACTCCCCGTGTGCAGGAGTGACGTGTCATGGCTGCCGGGAGGCCTGTGCACAAAGCTCGCTGTGAGTCCTTCCCCTCGGGGTCTGAAGGCGCTGCACCGGGTCCCCGGGGAGAGGTCCCAGGATGGGACGCTTTCCTGCCGGGGAGAGTCCCAGTCCCTTTCTCTGAGCGGAACCCCTGGGAGTCAGAGGTCGGGTCGGCCTGACTGTTTCCGTGTTATTTTTCCAGAGTGGCCGGCCAGTTCGAAAGCCCTAGTTTTAAATCCGAGCGCTGTCTCGGCCTAGCCCTGGAGTCCTGCCTGGCTGTAGCCCATCCAGCCTCAGCGCTGCTGCCTGGCTGGTCTCCTGTGACAGCGGACACTGGGCTCATGGGAGCCGCTGCGCCTCTGCTGGGCATGCAGGGGAGCCCTGGCCCTGCCAGCAGGCGCTGGGGAGGCCGCTGGGCCAGAGACCTCAGCGCCCTGGGTTTCCTCCTGGCTCCTCCTGTGCTCCGGGGCCAGCGCTTCTCCCAGACGGGAGCTGGGACACCGTCTCCCCTGTCAGGACGCCCCCAGCCTCCAGGCGCTGGCTGAGCTACCAGCGTGGGCCCCGCTCACTGCTGAGGGTCAGATGTGCTCCCTGATTCCTCCCTCAGTCCTCCACCTCTGCACCTGGGAGCTGAGACTGGGTCCTGAAGCCCGTGCTCGTCTGCGTTTGGGCGCAGCTGGCATTACCGCCGTCACCGTCACCTTAGCTCTGGGGCGGCAAGGACGAGACCAGCCTCCTGAGTGCACCCCTCGAACGTGGCGGCATAATCGGGCCCAGCATCCTACTTCTGGTGACTAAACCAGCTGGGGCACCGGGAGCATCGGTAACGCTGTGATCTTACTGGGCAACCCTGTGACCTGCTCACCATCACCTCCTACAGCAACATCTGCTTTACTCCTCATTTGCTATGAACCTGACAGATTCTGCTGTAGAAGGTAACAGGCAGCTAATGACTCACAACCCGCATACTCCCCAGGGTCTGTACTCTATTGTTTCCTTAAAGCTTTTAAAAGAAAATGTTTTTATTGATTCAGAGAGGAAGAGAGGGAGAGAGATAGAAACATCAAAGATGAGAGAATCATGGATCGGCTGCCTCCTGCACGCCCCACACTGGGGATGGAGCCTGCAACCCGGGCCTGTGCCCTTGACCAGGAATCGAACCGTGACCTCCTGGTTCACAGGTCAATGCTTAACCACTGAGCCACACCAGCCTGGCTTTTCAGTGCTTTTATGAGTAGTTTAAGCTACAGGCCCAGAATGTGTGTAAGTTTTTGGATTTAGCCGTGAGCCCGCACTGCCGTTCCCAGGTGTCATGCTCACTCATCTCCATGTCCACCAGCTCCGCCCGCTGACCTCCGGGGGGAGGGTGGGGGACTGAGGCTCCCAGGAGGCCCAGAGGCGAGAACCGGCCGAGTGTGTCACACCAGCCCCGCCCCACCTCCCGCCCGTGCCGTGCAGTGAACACTCTGCTCGCTAAACAAAGCCCCAGATCTCCAGCTAAACAGCCCCTATCACCGACGGCCACACTGACCTGCCCTTAGCAAGTCCTCATTCTTAGAAGAAAAAACATGGGACAACTGCTTTGGAATTTGATGAAATTTAAAAATATGAATGACAGCTGTAAGCATTTTCTATGTATTTAAAACTAAGGTGTTCACCGGAAGAAGGCAAACCGCTTTTAAATGTAAACTACGATTATTTAAAACTGCCAAGTCACCCATGGGAGGGCGCCCTCTGACTCACCGGCAGCACCAGGCCCCGCAGCGTGATCTCGCCCGTCATGGCCACGTCGGAGCGCACCAGCCGCCCGCTGAACAGTGAGGCCAGGCAGGTCACGATGGTGACCCCTGCCGACGGCCCGTCCTTGGTGACGGCTCCAGCCGGGAAGTGCAGGTGGATGTCTGTGTTGTCAAGAAGATCGAAACTTCCAGAAGCTTACAAAGAAAGAAGGATGTTAATGCAGGAACTTACACCTGTTTTCTTTTTCTCCTAAAAGAGAAAGTCAAAAGTGATTAAAAACAGACAAAACAACAAAACGCTCTGGGGAAAGGACTCCTTCACGATGCTAACGGGCGGTGCCCAAGAGCTCTGTGGCTCTGCCCCCCGTGGGGGAGGACGGCACAGCCTGCACTGCTCCTGGGTCGGGCGCTCGCGGGC